CCCCCCCCCTTCCCCCAACCCAAAATATCTTCCATCTTCACTATATCTAGCCGGCTTTCATCACTACGTCTATGTGAGACTGGTCTTCGGTGACTCCTTGACGGGAGCTTACGATGTGATGATCCGATAACAGCTCCTTGTCGATCTCGAACCCCCGCACCCAGACACAGGCACCGAAGGCGACCCCACCGACGGCGCTCAAAAATATCGACGTCCCCTGAAAGCCGCCGGCGTACGTCTCCATGATCGCGCTCCGGAGGTGACCGGGCGCCATAGACTTCAGCCGAACAGCGTACGACGTAATATTGGCCGCGACGTCAGGTGGGATCTGACGCGTTTCACATTTCGCGCGGATGACGTTCAGAAAGACACAGGCGATGATTCCCACCCCCATCGCCATTCCCAGGCTGCGAACTAGCGCGTAGAAGGCGGTCGCGGCACCTTCGTCCCCCGACGGCGCGGTGGCCTGGGACGCACAGTTGTGGGCCGTGAGGAGGAGGCCATGTCCGAGGCCGAGCAGCATCGAGGTCGCAATCCATTCGCCGGCGCGGGTGTGGGCGGCCCATCGGATCGTGAGACCTTCCGCCAACGTCACGAGTCCCCAACCACTCCAGAGGGCCCATCGGTAGTGACCCCAGCGTGTGATCAGTGCTCCCGCGGCGACCGACGCCGGGGTGAGGGTGAGCATGATCGGGAGGAGGCTCACCCCGGTCTGGAGGGGCCCCAAGAGCTTGACCGACTCGAAAAAGAGGGGGGAGTAGTAGAGTTGTCCATACAGCTAAATGTTGGTGAGTGCGCTGGAGTCGTCTGGACTGAGCGAGAGAAAAGGGTGAGGTCACTCACCAAGAAACCTTGCGCGAACGTGCCCCCGTACACGCCGTAGGCGGATTTCCGACAAAACAGCGCGATCTTCAAGAACGGGGTCGTCGCCACGAATCTCTCCCAGAAAACCGTGATCACGAGTCCCAAGCTACCTCCGACCAGAGGCCCGACCGTCATCGCACTGGACCACGGCACCTGAATGCCCGCCCGCGACAAGGCAATCAGGACGAGCGTGGCGGACGAGATGAAGAGGGCCGCCCCTACGAGGTCGACACGGGCGACTTTGACCCGCCAAGGATCGTCCGACCTTCGACTCTTCAGGCGCACCATCAGGGGCACCGTGACCGCCCCCGCTCCTGCCAGAGGAAGCATGATGTAGAACACCCATCGCCAACGCGACCGCGTCGCCAACGCCCCGCCGATGATGGGTCCGGCGCACGTCCCTACGGCCCACGCTCCCTGGCTGTTTGCGTGGCCGGAAAGCGTCAGTACCTAGTCTGCCCCACGGAGCACAGGTGAATGGGGATCCTTTCGGCTACATACATGATGCCCACGTATCGAGGCCGAAACTTCAAGGGCACAACGTCGGTGAGAATTACCAGACTGAGGCTGATGATGCCTCCGCCACCGATCCCCTGGATCGCGCGTCCCGCCAGCATGGCATCGATGTTCTGGGCGGCCGCACACACCACGGTACCGCCACCGAAGACGAAGACTGACAGGGTCAGACATAATGGGCGACCGAAGATGTCGCTCAGGGACGCCATAAACGGCATGGTCACCGCACACGAAAGGAGATAGGACGTGCCTATCCAGAAACTCGAGGTGGCGCTGGCATCCAGATCTTCAGCGATGGTCTAGGAAGGAAGGGTGCCTTGTCAGCCCAGGGTGAGGGGAAGAGACACGGCCAGGCCCACGTACCGGCAACGACGTGATGATGACGGTGGCATCTAAGCTGACCATGAAGGAGGTCAGTGCGAGGGGGAAGAACAACATCCACTCTTCCTTGGACGGTTTCCAGGGGGCAGGTGGCACACTCGGGGTGGTGCTGCCCTTCTCAACCTCGCCCAGCGTGTCGGCCTCGCCTCCCTTAGGTGGCAGAGCCTGCTCGGAGGACAGAGCTGGTTTGGCGTCCGGGCTCTCAGCCGCAAGACGGTCGTTGTCCAAGCCCATGGCTATACGGGAAGCGAAAAGAAGTCCAGGTCCGGCTTCAGGCCAGATCAACGAAGGACGTTTGAGCTCGCCTTTTAAACTCCAGCGCTACGAGTTGAAGGTCAGGTAGGCGAAGCACATGCTCGTCGGCATTTCCGTACCCAGCGGGTCCATTTGAGAGCAGTGGAGACCCGAACATGGATCGTCTCCCTCTCACATATGGTGCTGGTCGCAGAGAAACAAGGTTGCCTTTATTTGACCGTCGTATCGTCACCTATGACTGGACTACGTGGTACTCCCACTCTATCCTTGCCTCTTTGTGTTTGACGTTAAAAAATGCCGAGGGGACTCTTTCCCCCCTTAGGTTGAGTATTGATATAGACGTCCATGTGTGAAGCGAGTGCCACGTTCGGCTCTTGTAGTCATGCGTGCCGGGCGCCCTTGACGACCGCTCATCGAAACCGAGACAGACACCACATAACACATTCGACTCCCCTGGTGCCAACCAACCAGGCGGATGGCGGTCTTTATGTCAAGCACGAAAGGACGCAAAGGTCATGGGCGATGAGGTCGCTTTACAGGTGCCGTTCTCTGGTCTTCACAACACTAACCCTCATTCGATGGCAGGTACACGAATCTTAAGTTATGTCTTTCTCCACTCGTAGTATTACCTCACTTGGCTTACGCATCTAGAGCGAATCAAATCCTAAAGCTCTTATTTGACAGGAATGGAGCGAGTACTCAATCTCACCCTCCCGCGGCCCTGCAGGAGGTAGTGTACCCACGATGCCTACATTCTTCAAAGGCGCTTGTCATAGTATGTCAATAGCGCCCTGTCTGGCCCTGACGTGTCGACGTTTCTTGTCCGAAGGACCGAGAAATACAGCACCTCAACCAACTACTAAACTCTCGTTCTTAGAGTTAGTACACGTAACTCTTCCGTGGAAGCACTGGCTGCAATGCCATCTGGGGCAGCGTTCTCTACGTCCACGAGACCAACGCTCGCCTTATCGTGGAGCTTTGTGAATACGACGTATCCCATAGAATTTCGACAAAAGCTAATAAGCTCATAGCAAAGGCGCACGAAGGACGTCATTGTACATAACACTGAGTAGCCGGCAACTGCAGATCTTTTACGTCGCCAGCTTGGCCTGAGTGTTGTGCCCGCAGATTGTTCAGGATCAAAACTAATATTTGAGGGCGGGATGGCGCTGCGGGTATGAGGCCTCTACCTCACGCTCCTAACCAACCTCGTGTCCTGACCCGCGACGAAGTCGTCGGGAAGGATTGGATTAGAGTCGGATTTGCAAGGCGTATTAGCCTCTCCATCCAATCTTTCTCTTGTCTGGGCGGTCTAAGCACCTCAGGAATCCATTTACCCTTGTCTCTAGAGAGTTTTAGCCGAGTGGCACCTGCTCGCTCCTGCTTAGGCACATTTCCAAGTCACACAGGCAGATGATCAATCAACCAAGTGGTCCTACCAAGCTGAGCCTGACCTTATCGATAGTTGGCTGCTGGCAAAAGGACTAGCACCGTCTGACGGAACGTGTCCCGCCGGGAAGCGGGACCGTCGTGCAAGCAGGTTCGCAGGTCGAAAGATGGCGAAGTGGGACTGGCACCTGCAAACAGATATACATTCCTTCTTATCAAGATCTTCGAGTGACACGAGATCTTCCACGCGCCCGATCCTGGTTAGAACACTGCGGTGGAACTCGGTTGCCGCGAGGACAAGAGCATCTCCTCCCTACACCACGCGGTAGCCGGAAGAACAGCTCGCCCCGATTGGGGCGGAATGCGGATACTTATTACAGAAGAGGCTCAGGCACATCGACCGAAACGTTTACATAATTCTGAGACGAGCAGAAAAACCGTCACTCAGACACCGGCAAAAGAAGAATTACTGTGTGACTTGAGAAGAAACACCGCTTGGTCGAGACCGCCAGCACGAATTTCTCAATATCGTAGGTTATAATATCCCCGGGTAGCGAAGCCGCCCTCCGCCTCCCTACAACAGTAAACGGAGAGCGTGGCCTCCTGTACGACTTCCGATATGATTTGTGAACAACTGGAGGGCAAAGTCCCCCATAGCGGCGGGTCGGAGCAAGACTGCTCTTCGACCAGCTAGATTTACCGCCAAGTTAAATCCCATGATTATCTTTAGGTCCGGCACGATTGCAGAGATATTCGAACAAACAGTCGTTCTTTACGGTTTGAAGGCTGGGGGCTACGTAGGGTCCCCCGGGGTAAGGAGCACGGACTGATTAGATGGGCGAGGTTGGCCCTGATCACATATCACACGGTAGGCCTACAAACACTCACTGGGGCATGTGCAGATACTTCCGTGACCACTTAAGAGAGGTCGGGAAGGGGGCGGATGCGGTGTTGCCCGGATACGTTAGTCCAGGTGATCTTGAACAAAAGAAGGGGTTGGTGGAATTCAATGGGTAAAGAGATATCCTATCCGAAATCGAGGACTCGAATAGCATGTGTCGGTGATATGGATTCGCTATTCGTAACCCAGGTCGCACGAGATATTTAGGGAGATTGCATCAAGCACGATGGAAAAGTTGTTGTACCTGAAGGAGAGCGTCGATGAAAGATAGTGGCTCGAGGGAGGGAATTTGCGTGTCCAATTTCCTTTCCGCACGCGGAACTCCCATAGTTAGAACAAGTTGACTTTCTTGAGACCGTCCTCCGTCTACTCGACTTCATTCACAGCATCAGCCGACAGAATGGACGATGAGACATTCGGCGACGGCCACGATTATGCAGAACGAATGCCTCTCGCGTTCCTCAATCTCTCGTACTCAGCCCAGACCAAGCGAGACTCCAGGCTCGATCGGCCGACCGTTTTCACCCATTCGGAACGAAGTTAACTTTCATGAAGAGGCAGACGCGGACGCAGAAAGATTACATGATGAAAATCTCCTAAAGCAGTCGTGAACGACGAAGCTACTTATGTGGTAACTTCTCCGGAGTGCTAATAGCGCCTGGTCTTGCATCAACGAAGTCCGAAAGACGCGAGATCGAATAGCCCATCGTGGCAGCACGACTGCTTGGTTGAATTCCGTACCACGAGAAGGGTAGGAAGCCTCGTGTGCTGCTACTCAATGGCCACAAGTGTAAATATTCATGAAGTGTTCCAAAACCTAAGCCTCAACTGGCGTATCAATTGCGATAGGCACCGTTCTTTCACGAACATTGTTTCACAATCTCCATCCCATTCATCAAACCACTTCATCTCGCCTTCCGCTTTGGCGCCCGCTTTCACAGCATCCTCCCAACTTTGATAAACATCGTGAAGCCACACGATATGGAATCTTCCCTCGTCCGAAATATCTGCTACTTCGTGATACCAAATTTTCGACTCGGTGGTTCGCAATTTTTCTCCAAGAAGATTGAAGAGAGTTGTAACGGATTCGTTATTGAGGTCACAGGGCGCCATAATAAGGTCGCGGTTGTTTGTCAGAATTGGAAGAGGCTCGTGGGTTTGTACTGAGGAAAAATGGTCTCTGATTATGGCGTGGACAGCTTGGCTAGCCATCTGTGAATATTTGGTCTTATGGAATTCCGAAATCAGGGAATAAAGGGAGGGATACTTCTGTATTAACTTTATTGTAGATTCGAAGGTGATATTCGACAGGCTTTGGCGATACAATTTGTGCCTGTGAAAGGAACCTGCAGGACCTTTTGACAACAACAACAACAACAACAACAACAACAA